TCGCACCTGCAGCTTAACAAAAAGTTGTGAGCTGAATTATTTCCTTTATCCATGCTATTCCTTTCTGCCATGATGGAAATTTATAAATAGGAGGTAATTAGAATGCATGATAGCACAGATCACATCTGCCAAATGACAAATTCTGGTCACTTTTATGTAATATTTCTCCCATTAAGTCACTTGAGTTGACAAAACAAACAAAAAAAGCCCTTCTTTAATAAAAGTTAAAGAAACAAAGTGTTTCATGTTAAATACACATTTGTCATTAGCATAAAAAAATCAGTGTTGGCATCTGGGCTGTTTTACACATATTTGTACTAGTTACCTGATTTTTGTACCAATAAGCTATAATCAGAATTGTTATTACTTTTTATTAGAAGACTATATTTTAGCTTGTTCTCAAGTCAAATGACATGTTTTTAACGCTTACAAAATCCAAAATGATGTTAGGCATTTAACAATCTCAAAAGGCATAGCCCTATTTTAAAATCTAAACCAATTTTAAATTCTATCACTTGAATATAACATATATTGAGTTGTTTGCTCTTTTACAAATGCTATCTCTTTTGTAAGATTAAGTCTGTATTTGAAGGATCTGGGAAAGAATTCCACAAGCCTATATCTGAAGCTGACCTCTGCTTTTCTATAGCCTTAGAGTTGAAGTTAAGACAGAGGTAGTATCAGAGCTAGCAATATTTCCTTGAGTTCTTAATTTTTAAACTTCATATTCAAAAGAAATGGCAGTGGCCTCTGCACAGGTCATTTCTTTTGACAGAACAGAAATGGGAAGAGACTCATAAATATTTTTGAAACCTCCCCAGTTGGCACACTGTGACATGTGATCAATGGATCCTCATGCTTTGATATGTTACAGCGGGAACTTTCAGAAATGACTTACTGGGTTGTACATCTGATTGAACAACTGCTCAGCTTGCTACATTGCAAAGTTGGGGAGGCATTGAAGCACAGACAAGGAAAGAAGGAAAGATCAGAAAAACAGCATTAGCTCAACAAATCCAGTGCATTTGCACAGACAAACTGGTGATTAAAAAAGAAGAAATTTCAGTTTCTAAACATTCCGCAGTGAAAGTGAGAGGCTCTAGGGAAATAGAAATGTTGACTTTGGCTCCTAAAAAAGAATAGCTGGAATAAGAAATTTAAGGTTTGTGTTACTTTCCCTTTCTCAAGTTAAATAACCCATGAAATAAAGAAAGCTGTCCACTTTTGATGATACATGAAGTGCTGGCCTCTAGCAATGAATCAGAAGAAGTGCTTTTGGCCAAGCCTGCAATTTATTACCTGAACTTCAAAGATGGTAATAATAAAAGATTAATTAAATCTTATCATTGAATTTATAGCTCTTCTTTTATATTAACATAAGCCTGAGTTTTCTATTCAGTCTAACTTTAGAAAAATATAGATAAGCAGACAGCAGGATAGCAACAGCAAAATATTAGTAAGCAAGACATTATAGGAATAATAGTAAATGGGAAAAGAAAAAATTTAAGTCAGTAGGATGACTGAAGGGAACTAAAATACAGTATTATGCATTGTCTATTACCAGTTTCTACTGTTAGTTCATAATAACAAAAATTACAATTGTTAGTGACTATCCTTTTATGTTTCAAGTCCTTCAGAATCTGTAATGCTCTTCTGTTTTACGTAGATTTAAATGTTTGCGGATTTAAGTATACTAAATATTATTTTAAATAGCATCCTCAAGTTATATTTCTTATATACCTACATCATTAATTTGCAGCTCAATGTCAAGGTAAAGAAGGTGAAATACTGTAGGAACTTTTAATTTGCTTTAAGCTAAGATGTGCTTTTGAAAAACATGAATTTTTTTTGTTTATTCAAATTTGATGAAATAATAATTTTACTGTGGTTAAAAAAAAACACCCTCCTCAAAGATGGTATTAATTGGAAAATTACCAAATAACACGAATCATGACATTTTGATTGCTGTTGGTTCTCAACTGATTTCTAGTCATACAAGGTAAATTTACTTTTACATATTGAACACCAAATATTCTTGAAAGATGAAATTATCCACACATCACTAATCAGGTTCTTCTTAACCCCAGGTGACGAATTAATATTAAATAATGCACTAATTTATAAAGCACCTTCACAGCTAGTATTTATGCATTATCTGGTTATTATCATCTTATTAGCCTGTCTAATATCAGTAAAGATTTTCTCACAAGAGAATATTTGACTGCATTGTTTTTAAGAGGAAGGATGGAATGTGTAAGGAAGAGCTCCTCTTTTGCCTGTAGTAACCATTTTCAACACAAAGTATTTGGAAATGTCTTAAAATAACATATAGTAAAGGGTTAAAAGCAACTAAGTGTGTGAATGTTCTCCACAAGCTTTTATGCTAAAAACTCATGATACCAATTTCTAGCATTGTTTATGAGAGAAAAACAAATTTAAATCACCATTTGGATTCTACTGTCCCTGGCAGAGAAGGTTTCTGTTCAGTTAAACACATCTACTATGTTGTTTGGATTTTATGGCAAAAATACCTGGACACTCACAAATCCTGAGCAAAATTCCATTGGGAATTCATGGTTTATTTATGTCATAATAAAACTATTATGTTTTCAACTTTCATTTAGTAACCCTTTATATTTTATTCACAAGTCACATACCCTTTTATTTAAAAGGAGGCCCAGACACTCTTTTAGCTTTTATAGCTGCTTATTTTTCCATGAGTAAATGATGTGTTTATGTGTATATTCACATACTGTCGGCTTATATTTTCAAATATTTCATGTAGATCTCAATTCTTTTTAAGGTGATGGGTACTTGAGGTTTTTATAGAACTATTTATTAGCAGAAATTAAAGACTACTAGAAAAAGTATTTTAAACTTTTGAATTTAGTTGATGTTAGAGAGCCAAAAATAACAAAATAGCATCTGCAGGTTAGGTATGAAAATATTTAAATTATAATTACCTTATTTAATCTGACTGCACTATGCATTTAGGAGATAGTACAAGCAAAGATTATTTATATACTTAGAAATAAATTATGTTTTCAGAAATTAAATAGGTCCTTTCCAGCAAGACAACCATATTAGTTACTTTAATTCTGGTAATGTGGCAGAATGTTAAAATGTTGTCAGAAATAATACTAAAATGTTTACAGAATTTGATCTGTGAATTCCAGTACATGATGTCTACATGAGAGTCTAAGGAAACCACATGCTCTAAATGACTTTGAGAGCGAATCACAGCTATGTTGAAAGAAATTAAACTGAATTGCATAGATGTTCATTTATTAAACTAGTCAAGCCATAAACGTGGAAACTACAAGCATCAATATGTCAATCTCTTCCTTTTAACTAGAGGATTTCAAATTCCACAGATGACTTAACACTAAAAGAGAGGGTGTCAAGTATGTATCTGCAGAAATAATATATGAGGTGCCCTCAACTCCATAATGGCTCCTCAGAGTTAATGAAGAACATCTTTTATGCCCAGGTCTTTTGGGGGTTCCTCCTTCAGGACTCAGCACACTGCAACTGAGTTAAGATAATAAAAAGGACCACCACAGTGAGGCAAAAAAGATTGCTCTTTCAGAGTTATCTTAGAACCTGCCTTATGATCACAAAACTGTTCATCAAATAAAAGTACCTTTCTTAGGTTCATTTCTTAATGGGCATATGCATGTATAACATATTGCAGAACACATTCATATATGTCAAGAATATATATCATACACCCAAAGCATAAATAACCAAGTCAATTTCCATTTAAACACCCTCAAATGGGCAATTTAAACCCTTCTATTTATTGTTCAAGGTTTCTGCTTAACTAGGTATTGCTTGAAAAAAAGTGAAATGTTGAGTTGATTAGGAAATAGATGTTGCAATATAGAGATTTTCTGGCTGTTTTGTTGTAAAGGGATTTGATCTGTTTATTTATCTTTTTTCTGTATTACTAAGGAGATTTTATTAGTACGAAATCTCATGACAGTTTCCTAAAATTCTGCAGTAGAGTGAACACAGTATAATCACATTTCAGTTTTATATTGCATCATACAAAATAGTATATTAAAATTTAAAATATCGAGAATAATTTCTTCACAGATACATGATGCTTTCACATCCCTATCACCTGTACCATATATTTTCACAACTTTAGTAAATAAATCCCCATTCAAGTGTGCTATGAATTATACATAGTCAAATTTTACTATATACTTTGTTTGATTTAGATTCTTATCATCTCTTTTGAATAAGTTTATAAGTTGTCAAAGGGAAACAAAATGCTTAAACTCATAATGTTATGAGTTTCATGTGAACAATGAGTGCAGACGAACCAAACAACACAGGGAAAAAGTCAAAGGAACGATGCATGACTGGAAATGTACTTCACAAAAATGTCCAGTTCAGAGAAAACATGTTAATGCTGCAATGCAAATATCCTGCTTTCTTTTCTGAATCCTTCTACATACAACAAGCTTGCTTAGACATTAAAGCCATTTTTGGTCAAGTATAGTCATCCGAGAGATCTTCCAGGGACTTGGCTATTTTGGTGAACTTCTAGAAATTTAGCATTGTCAGATAAACCTTTTGCCAAGTTTCAATTTTAAAAAATGGCCTACTTCTGAAAGTAGTTAAAGTTTATAAACGTATAATGGGGCCCCTGAATTCTTTGGTTTGTTGCAAACATTTCCATTTATCTTTTTGATAGTTTCCCAGAAAGTAATGGCTGGTTTTTGTAATATTTTTCACATCTACTACTACTTTCACCTATTTGTCAAGTAGGTTTTCTTTCTTTTTTTCTTTCAGACAGGAAATCTAAGATAACTTTTCAGGTTCACAGACAGATCTGATGTAGACTTCTTAGGAATAAAGGCTGCTTAATTAATTCTTTCATCAGCAGACAACAAAAGATAAAGAGTTTGTATTTTTTTAAATATCTCTTCCTTTCCTATTTTATAACTTCATTGCAAAATGAGTGTGTTTTTTGTTTACACTTCACTTACCTTTTTTAATTGTGCTTCCAATTTGCTACATTCTTCTTTCTTTTGTTCAATGGCTATTTCTAGAGATTTTAATTTGGAATCCCTTTTCAGCCCTGCTGAGGCTAATGAAGATGCATGTTCCTTGAGGTCAATTAAACTAGACTGAAAGGAAAAGAACACTAGTAAGTAAAACTGCAGTTTCTACTAGCAGTGTCTTCAATTTGAATATATTGATTCTATACATAGCAATAAAGTGTGCATTAGACAGAAAGGGTAAATATAGTCTTACTAAGGTAACAATAGTTGGCTCTGGCCAGGAAATTAAAGTTGGCCAGTTTACAGAACCAAGAAGGATCTAATTGCAGTAGAATCTGATGTGATCAAATAGTGTGGTCAGTAAATGCATGTTTCACGTCTAAAAGTTATGCTAATGATCTAAGTCCCAAGTTGGTTTGTACATGTCCTGGCAAAACAGATACCCTAAACCTTCCATTTATATTTTTTTACTGTCAGGTTGTGCAGACTGTAAGATAAATATGAAAGAAAATACCAACTTTAATGCTTTTCTCCCCACAAAAGGCAAATGAAGTAAAAAAAGAAGCCTTTTATTTTTTTAAATCAAATCCCATTCTGTAACAGAAAAACAACCAAAGCTTTCTTGAACATCTTCTATAGAATCAAAGATAAAATTATTTTAAAAATTAAAGTAGACTTTATGTTCCAGTCCTTTGTAAATCCAGATTCAGCAGATACAATGAATCTCCCCAACTCAGATATGGGATTACCTCAGTTGTTCTATTCATCAGTTATGCCCAGAAACCAAGAGCTTCCCTGTATAGTCTGAATCCCAAAAAGTAAAGAAATAAATATGTGCATATATCGCAGAAAACAAATTTGCAGCTAGAAGGGCAATGTCCATCACCAAACATGAACTGGTTAACATCTAACTACGTGACTAAAATGTTCACGTTCCACCTCAAATCAGACATTGTGCATTTCCTCTGTAGCCACTTGTAGCACTTATGAAGACACTAAGCACACAGGGGTTTCTCAGTAATGATGTTGTCTAATACTTGACTGCTTCATGGGCACTGGAATAATCTTATTAATGAATATATCACCACAGTCATCCAGCAAAAGACCCAGGTTCTAAGAACCATCTGAAGGACAGGTTAGCCATTCTCATTTTTCAGGTCAGGAAACTGAGGATCACATGAGCTGAATATCTTCTCCAAGGTTCTCCAGCTATTAATGGAAGGTACAGGTCTCACACCCAAGTCTCCAACACCAATTTTAGTGGTCTTTACCATATCACTCCCATAGAAATAATAAAAGACCTTATAATACAGGGATTTTGTCATGGTGAAGATTATTAGCACCCCAACTAAATTATAAGCTCCCTGCTAACAACAATTGCATGTTGTTTTCCTTTATAAATTTTAAATTGCCAGGTGTGTCAATTGCTTTATGTGTCACCTTGCCTAGGCTATAGCCCCCAGTTATTTAGTCAAATGCTAATTTAAGTGTTGTTGTGGAGGTATCTTGTATATGTAACTAACATCTACAATCGGTTGACTTTAAGTAAAGGATATTATTCTCCATAATCTGGGTGGGCCCGAACCTATCATTTGAAAGATCTTAGGAACAGAACTGAGGTTTCCCTCAGAAAGAAGAAATTCCACCTGTGGACTGCAGCATCAGCTCCTGTCCGAGACTTTGCAGTCTGCCCTTCTTGATGGCCTGCCTTGTGAATTCTGGACTTGTTTAGCCAGCCCCTATATCTATGTAAGCCAATTCCTTGTAGTAAATTTCTTAATATTGTTAAATTTCTTAATACAGTTCTGTTTTTCTGGTGGAAACTTGACTGACACACCCAGCGGCAGGCACATTATTATAACGAAAAATAAATGTTTGCAGCAATGTCTGTCTAAAATTCATACAATGAATTTCATACAGGCATTGTTTACAAAATTGTTTTCATTTGAAGCTTATGCTCCACCATGTCATTAAGATTTCTTTTCAATTAGATGTATTATATATATATATATACACACACACACAAACACTCATACATATACTGATTTTAAGGTGCAAACCCATGAATAACACTTGCAATCTGTGAAGAATGCTGCAAATTGTGGTCAAAGCTTCTGTGTCTTCTGTCATATACCAACTACAGTAATTACACATCCCCCACATTGGATTTATCAGTGAAATAGTAGGAAGAGGGAATACATTTTTTTTCTTTTCATATCAAAGGAATAATCTCCTCTCCAAAAACTAGTAAACTTAAATTTTAGGTAATACAAATTTTGCTTCTGAGTTTCCTCAAAATTCCTATTACTCATCAATTCTTTCCTTCTTGGATTACTAATATAGACAGTACTTTAATTTATATAGAATTATCAAAGCCCAAGGGCTGAGGTGATACTTTGGAGCTGGGAACTATATAACCATGCCAAACAGGACAAAAGAATCTGTAACAGCCCTAAAAGATGGTCACTTCCTGCAGAAATAATAAGTGTGAAGGGACTGATTGTGGACAGTGGCACATATCTCAGAGTTTTGGACACTGAATAAAAGAATACGCATTGCTCCTTCTTAAAGTTCTCTCCAAAGTATCTCTAAGTAAACCTAGGGGTTAAGAGGTAAACCTCAGAGTAGGGACACTCTCCATAACCTCTAAGCAAAAAATTTCTTTAAAGCATATTGTTTTACATTAAAAGTGCAGGTGAGATTTGTATTCTGTATCCATGTTTGCTCTACCAGGAAATATTGTTTCAAATAATTTATCAAAATGATGTCCCAGAAAAGCAGCTACAATCTATACTTATATGTCCAGCATGGTGCCATAGGTCCTAATCTGGGAGTTATTGAGTGATCTATTTGAGAAGCACAGATGAATGTTTAGTACCCAACACAAGGATAAGCACATAAGAGGCCCTCAGTAAAGTGAAGCTGTTACTATTATCAATGTTGTTGTTGTTATCTCAAACAAGGGATCATGGGACATTGAAAAAAATACAGAATCCTCCAAGCCATATGGATATGTAAGACATTAAGAAAAATTTCAAGGAGCTACATTGTATGTGGTTAGCAGAGTACAGAATACATGCACAGAGCATCACTGGATGAAGGGAGTTATAGCAAATATTCTTTGAATTCAGACAGCTTTACAAAGCAAAAGTAACTGTGTCTCCCAAGCCTTCACACAATCCCCTCAAACTAAGTCTCTCCAGGCTACTGTGGCTATAGGTTTATGAGGACTATCAATGTGGTTCATTCATTTTTCCAGACTCACCTCTTTTTCAGTCAGTTCAGCTTGTAATGCATTGACTTTCTCTTTCAAGTCTTTGTTCTCTTTTCGGAATGATTCTATTTCTTCTAGTCTTTCTCGATCATCTCTCTCCCGCTGTTCTTTCAAACGCTCAATTATTCTTTCCTGTGAGGCAATTGTCAAAAAAGAAGAGGTAAGAACACATCAGTATGTGTGACAAGGCATGCTACAAAAGGAAGTAAGAGGTAATACATGTAAGAAATGCTGTACAGGACTCAATATACAAAAGATATTCAAAATTGGGTTTGTGAAGAGAAGCTGTGCAGCATAGTATTTGGGAAAGACAATCAATATAGCTTTCAGCTTGTTAATAAAAGTTAGCATCATAGGGTTGCAAGGGACCTTAATGCTAAAGTTCATGGCAGTACCAGGAAAATTCCAAGGGCAATTCCAGAGGAGTAAGTTTTAGGCATCAAGACCCAAAGTCTTGTATAAGCAATGGGAAGAAGCAGAACCAAACTCGTGGATCAGAACCAGGATCTTCGGTTGGCTTTCCTATTTGATGTCAATGAACTTTCCTTGGTTTCTGAAGATTCTTCTCATTAGAAAGGCGATCAAAGTAGGGCAGGACAGAGACCCTCCAGGACTTAGGTCTGGACTCACAGTGAGAAATCAAAGCAAAGTAAAGAATAAGCTCATTACGTAAGTGATTTTCCAATGTGTCTGGAAGTGTTTATTCACTTCCCTATTTTTTAATGACTTCATGGCCATCAGTAATGACTCCAAAACATTGCTAGAATTTGAGCTTCCTTTATTGAGAGGTTATTATAATGGTAGGAACTGTGATGTACCCTTCTCATCTAAGTCCTCCCTACATCTGTGAGAACTGAACTAGTACTACTGCTAACAGTGCAGTGATGAGGAAACCTAGCTTCAGAGAGGCCAACTAACTCATCCAAGGGGACCCAGCTCAAAGACCAAAGGCCTACACTGGCATTCAGGACCGTCTGAGTTTTAGCTACACCCATGAGATCACAGTGCCACAAACATGTGCCTGGGCCGATTCAAGGAGATCTGAAGACCTGTCTGTCCTTGACTTTTATATAAAAGTGAAAACATTACTCCAGTAGACATGTTCTCAAAAATGTGAAATCTTACTGATGTCAAAACAAGAACCTTCTTTTTGGAAAGAAAATTCCACTTGGGTAAAATTTTAGTTAGATTTCTGAAATTTGTTTCAAATTACCCAACACATATGTGAACTTCCTTTTGGATGGCCAAGGTAAAAAATATTGCTTCAACAATGATGCTCAAGGATAATATCCTTAAGGATACTATCTTTTACATTCTTATACATACAAAGTACAAGACAATGCCTGATACATAAGACAACTGTAAAGCCCAGTGTTTAATTCAGAGGGAAGTTGGTTTGAACACTTAGCCTGTGCTTTAAGATCCTGCAGGGAAGCAACTATTCTACCTCAGTGACAATAATTTATGTATCTAATGCTTTCAAGGGAGAAAAAGAATACTATTATTGTTTTGCAATTATTTAAAAACACTTTAAAATGAAGTATATTATTATAAGAGTGCAAGTATAAATAGAACAAATAAGTACTAATTGCCTACATTTGTTTCTTCTTGGTTTTAGTTACAGACCTATTTTACTCTGTGACATTGGTGAGTGGATGTTTATGTGATTGACAGAAGAAGGAATGGCCCCAGTCAACGTTAAGTCTTTGAAGGGCTTTTAACAATTTCAGCAACTGAGCCCTCACTGCCTTTTGCCTGCACATATTGCAAAAGCCTCACGACTGATCACCAAGCAAACAAGCCCTCTCCATCCCATTGCTTCCATCCCAGGGCTGTTGGAGTGACATTTTATAGCCCCAAACTGACCATGTCACCTCGCTATTTGGAAACCTTCCCAGGAATTGCTCTGATCAGAACATGTGGCATTTATTCCTACTCGGTATGTCCTTCTTCTCAGCCTAGCTTTCCAAAGGGCAGCACTCAAATCTTATGACTCTCTTAGCCCAGGGCTGGGCAAACTGTCTGGCATAAAACAGCTGATAGAAAGAACAGAATTCAAATTAGGGATTATCTTGTCCTCAAAGGAAGGGAAAGAAAATTAAGTATGCGTGCTAACATCTAGAAGGTGTCAGAGTCATTCAGACATTAGGTTGATTTGCTCTAAGCACTTGTACTATTGACTAAGCATCGATGACACAAAAAAAAATCAGCAAGCAGTATAATGTTTTTAAGTGTTATTGATGATTCAGTACTACAAAATATTTCTCCATCAATCACAAAACTAATTTAACTGTCAGCTGCAAAGGGCCAGATGTCAGAAACATGTGTTAAAAGGCCCTAATATGCCATGATCTACTTGATTAACAACTAACTTGCAGAAATTCCAACAACGTGTTCTTGTTTTAGTCTTATTTGCATTGGCAAGTGTTCCTTGTACACCTATCTGGCTCTGCAGAGGTCTAATCTATTTATGCTTTATCACTGGATGGGAACTGCATTGCAGTGGCCTCCAGCTCCGTTATCTGGCTTTCTGCTAACTGCTTATCGGCTATGTGGCCACAGCAAGGCTTGGTGAGACCAGCTTTGTAAATACTGGGGGTTCTGTCTCTTGAGCTTCTCTGTGTCAGTCCTAGAGCTAAGTCATACTCAATCTTAACTCACTAAACAGCATTATTTTTTTACACACTCTGGATGTTTGAATAAGTTCTGGGAAATTAAAAGGAGTAACACACTCCCTGTGATATAATAATCCAAGTGAAATGGTGACTAGTGCCTAATGGGTTCTATTCATCAGCCAAAAGACAGTAAATAATTAAACGTTCTTGTAAGTCCATGATTTTTAATTAATCACTTTCTTTTTTGAACCATGTCTTGTTGCAGAGGATCTGTCCAATTATATGTGGATAAAAATGGAACTTGTGAGGAAAAGGTCATTAAAGGAGAATATGATGTTGTCAAAAGCACAAAGATCAGAACATTTATGTTTTAGTCCCATTCATTACCCATGAGCTGAGTGGCTTTGGGATAGTACAGGGGAGGCAACAAAGTCCCAATCAAAGATGAATTTAGACAGAGTAGAAGTGACTTCCCGGAAAGCTGGGTTGAGAAGTTAGCTTGTGCCATGTTTGATTAATGATGCCTGCCTAAAGCCCAGAAATAAGGAACGGTGCTGCACATGTCCCAGATTTTCATTTCTGGGCAAGTCATTTCACCTCACCAAGCCCAATTCCCATCTTTAAAATGAAAGAGCATGGATTTAGTGTTTCTCAAAGTGTGGTCCTTCAACTACTTGCATCAGAATCACTAGGCATTCTTGTTAAAAATCACAGATTCCTGGTCCCCACTGCAAAGCGCTGAATAAAAATCACTAGGAAATAGGACCCAGGAAACTATATTTAAGACGCTTTCTAGATAAGATTTTTTGGACATACACGGAAGTTTGATACCCACTGGAATAAATACTTAAAATAAGTCTGCGATTCTTCATCTCTGATAGAGAACTTTGCCAGTTCCTATCCAGTGTTTTTGTCTGTGTTTTTCAAATACACTTACACTCTGATTTTGGCACTTTTCACAATCCCCTACCAGTAAATTGCTCTGCGCTTGCTTTTATTCTTCATCAAGTGAAAGACTGAAAAATCAGATGCAAATAGGGTTTGGAAACCTAGAGTTCACAGAGCTATTTTGTTTGGCTTGAGCGTCAAATTTTAAAATCTGAACTTGAGGATTCTGAGATAAGTCAGAGACTCTCCATCCTGCCATAGTCACCAGCAGTCCTTACTGCTTAACACCAAATGTACTTCCCTCATTTCTGCTCCCTATGTGGACCTTCATGGCATCTAAGTTCTCAGCTCCTCATCCATGGTCCAGTGGAGATTTCATGTGCCTGAGATTGTGGATTGGCAAACTGAATAATTATTGTTAATGTAGTTCCAAAAGAGAATGGAATTTAGAGGTCAGCTAATTTAAATGTGTGTTTTGAAGATAAGGTATTGAGAAGAGAAGAGGCTTGCCTCCATGTGATATAACTATCAAGTAGTGGTGATAGTTTGAGGAGGCCAGACCCTCACAGACCTCAGCTTTCTTTTCTGGACTTCCCCTGGGTCTCAAAGGAAGTGCTGAAATAAAGGGAGTAGTTTCTGACTTGAGAACTGTTTTGGGATTTAAACCAGAATAAATGAAATTTTTAATAAGGCCCAAGGGAAAAAATGATAAAATCCTGCAAAGAATCCATAACACAGAAAATTATAGGAAATCAGTTTACTTCTGTATATTTGGAGAAGGAAATTAAGAGGTATAAATAGGCTGACATCATATCAAAACTGGAAAGGAGATGCATAATGATTAATAGTTTTTGAGACAATATTCCCTTATTCAAATTTCATAAACAAAATTACTATAAGAAAGTTGATACTAAATTCTTGAAAATTGAAAAAAGAGTATTTTCCCTGAAAAAATTTTATTTATTCTTATAAGTCTCCAAATAATTACAATTAAAATCTAATCCTAAAATTATAATCTTAACAGTTTTTAATAGGGACATTAAAACTATCTAGCCATACAATCATGGATCTTTTTTTAGCTTCTATATTTTTAGCATAGAGCAGTGGTTCATACTAGAGCATACATCACAATAACCTAGGAGCATGCCATAGTGCAGACTTCCAGGCCCTACTCAAGGTTCTGGTTCAGTAGGTATACATGGGACCTAATAATTATATTTTCAACAGGCACCTACTGGTGGTTCTGAAGTAGAAGTCAGAGAAGACTTCTTTAAGAGTCACTGACTTAGGGAACCAGTGGGCTACTGAATCTAATTCCCCTATCCTACAAATGGGAAATTTCAGGCCCTGGGAGAGAAAAGTATTTGCCAAGGTCACACAGTTTGTTAGTGGCAGAGACTGGCTCCTAGGTCTCCTTCTACTTGATCTCATTACCCCGAAGTTTATGATAATATAGACTAAAGGAAATAATGCTGTTACTGTAGTGTGACACCCCCCGCAAAAAAGACCACTACCCCCTACATTTGTGAGAAAGCCTGCAAAGTGCTGCAGAATCAAAAATGATGAGAAACATGAAGAAAAAGAACATAATGGGGGTCTACTCACATACTTTAAAAGTTAAAATTTCTTTGTTTCAAGCTGAGTTTGAAAATAATTATGTCAATAACACGGGAGCAAAGGCTGCACTGATGCATGACATGTCCAACCAAAAATAAGCTACGTCTCCTCAGAATGCCTATGAACTTGACCTATTCTAGTCTTGGGTACTGGTTCTTTGACTCTTAGGAAGTGACGGGAGATAAAACGTGCAAATCCAACTCCAAGGCCTGCTGCTGCCCAGCTCAGTGCACTGCACACATTCAGCAAGGTTCCAGTCCAACAATAGATGCCCAGAAAATGAATCAACTAATTAGCTAGAATTAAATGCACTAGAAATCATTTTAGAAATTGTTTAACATCAGAATGACCTATTCTCCTGATAGACTTCATTCATTCTTTTAACAAAGTAATCCTTTTAAATGTAAGTCAGAACAAAGCCCTTCAAATGGTTTCCTATCCTCTTCAGAGTGAAAGTTGAAATTTTTCATCTTTTCTCAGAAAGCCCCACAAGATCTGCTCCTTCTCTCCTCCCCCTCCCACCCTGCACTTGCTCTCCCCTCCAATACATCCTTCCTCCAGAAGTGCTCATGGTTCATCCCTCACTTTCTTCAGGTCTTTCCTTAAATGCCCCCTTCTCAGTAAGACTTCAAACCTGGCCATTTCATCCCTGCAGTACCTGTATCCCTCCATGCTTTTTTTCTAGAAATTATTACCCTCTGAAGTCCCAAGTGTTTTACTTATTTATTGTCTATGGCTCCCTTACTCCCATTAGAATCTAATCTCCACAAGAGCCAGAATTTTCACTCATTCTCTTCTCTGCCAGATCCCCAGTGCCCACGGCACTCCCGGTCATATGGTGGGGGCTCACTCCATCAGCACCCACTGAGTACTCCTTCATGCAGATATTGTGCTAGCATTGGGGGAAGGCAAGCTAACACAAATATGGGTATGTTGCTTGGGCTTGGAGTCGAGCAGGGAAGACTGATTAATCATATAAAAACAGACAAATAAACAATTAAGATTGTAACAAGAGCTCTGAGAAGTTCATGGTGTTCACGAGAACATAACAGAGGATTTGACCCTGGAGGATTCCCTGAGGAAATGGCAATAATAACAGCTATAACTTGTTATACCAATTTTTCTAAACACTTTGAATATATTAATGCATTTCTCCTCAACATAATCCACTAAAGTAGGTACTATTATATCCTCTTTTACAAATGGAGAAAGTGAGCAGTTAAGTAACTCGTCCAAAGTAGTCAGTGTCAGACTTAGGATTTAAATCCAACCAGTATGGCTGCAATGTCCACATTCTTACTACTACGCAATACAGCTTCTCAGGAAGCTGAGCTCTCAGAAGAGGAATTAAGTCTGCAGACAGTAAAGAACATTCTAGGCTTAGTAGTAGCATGTGAAAAGGGTCTAAGGCAGGAGGGAACATGGTGCAGTTAAAAATCTTGGAGGCCAGCAAGGCTAGAGCACAAATAACAAGGGAAGAGAGATGAAGGATGAGGCAGGAAAAGAAGGAAGGAAAGATGGAAGGAAGGAAGGGAGGAGGAAAAGAAGGAAGAAAGGAAGGAAAACAGGAAGGAAAGAGAGAGAGTGAGGCAAGCAGGCAGAGAAGTGTCTGTTCATACAAAAGCCAGAGCAGATGAAGGGATAGACCCTATGGGGAAGGTTAAAAATTTCAGTTTCTTTCATACTAAAAATAATGACAAGGTAGTGAAAGTTTTCAAGCAGGGCCAAGGGTGATGCAATCAGATATGCATTTCAGAAAGATACCCTTGGCTCCAGTGTACCAAGTCTACTGCAGAGGGCTAGCACAGGAGTGGGGGGCCCAGCTGAGACCAGGGATAGTGTGAGTGCACGGAGAAAAGCAGGCACACTGAAGTGCATTGGGATCATCTCCTCTCAACCATGTTTCCCTAAATCCTGATATCCCTGCTTTTTAGTCCAAGCTCACCTTCTCTGACAAAGCCTCCTCGAGTGTCGCCAGCGCAGTGTCCGTATTACTGGAATCAGTCTGCAAGGACTTCACTCTGTCTTTCAGATTGGTCAGTTGCTTGTCTTTATCCCTAAGTTGCTCTTGTAAGTTTTCAATCTGAAAGTAAAGACCACCATATTTAATACACATTTTATTACATATCTAATGCCAAGATTCCTGAAGTGGACCTATTAAAAAAAAAAACACCCAAGATTATGGAAACTGTTGATATTACAACGTTACATTTTGACTTAGAATCAAGGCCATTTTGATGAGACCTTCTTTCTTTCATATAATCCAACTTTGTTTTTAAATGGCAATAAAGATGAGCAGCATATATTCCTCCATTCAAATGCAAGCCCTCCACACACATAAGCACAATTATTTCTATATATTTCTATTCCTTTCACCAGTCCTTTTTAAGTCTCAAGTCCATAAACCTAATCTTGGTGTAGTGAATCAGAGAAACACACATACAGGACTTATTCATTCAATAAGCAGGCACATATTGGGTGCCCATTCTGCCCTGCGCACTTTATCAGTATGTGGCAGAACCTATGTAGTCATTCACTCACTCTTTTATTCAGTATTAAACTTTGTGATATGCCAAATGTTGTCAAGTGGCTGTTTTAAAGTAACCACATGAAAAGCCAAGTAGGTTATCACCAGTAGACTGTTAATGGGAAGAACTTGTGATATAAATCAAATGTAACAAGTACTGAACACTCCATTTGGCAACTAAGTCATGTGCTGGCAACCAACCAGCCATTATTATCCACTATCTGCAGCCTGAAATAAACACAGCAAATAGCCGATTGTAATGCCTGCCCAGGAGCCACAGCAAGGACCTTCTCTTGGGCATTTCATACATTATCATTCATGTTTTTATTCTCTGCTTTCAAACCATGTATTTCTTATCTAAGGATTAAAAAAACCCACTGTACAAACAATTTATTCGTATTAAGGGTTTTAAAATGACAAGGAAAAAAAGCAGTACAACTCTAAGATAAGTCCCATTCAAAATATTTGTATTCTGCACCCAGGCTTTCTCAGGAAATCATTCCAAATGCATGTTTCACAATGTGTAACTAACAAATTTGGGGATTACTCAAGTCACATAGCATGAATCTGGAATGGCAATACAAAAAATGACAACAGTAGAAGTAATAATGAGGAGGAGGAAGGAGGGGTGACAAGTGGAAGTGGGAGCAGTAGAAGCATCAAAATAGCTCTGAATGCAAAGATAACGACTCTGCTGACCCTCAATCTAAGAACAGAGGACTTGGTTAATTTTTCCAATGGTTAAAATGGATGTGGGCTAATGAAGAGAAACTTTTCTTCCTTCCAATTTTCCCACCTTCCTTTCCTTCCTTCTTCTTTCTTTTATTCCTTCTTTTCTCCTTCCCCCTCCTCCACCATCTTCTTCCTCTTTTTGCCAGCGAAGTGTTTAGTATGACATGTTTTCAGCCTTGAGACAGGCATCCTGGTTTAGGTCAAATAATTAACATTCTCTTTCATAAAAATGCATTGTGTTCCTATCCAGCTACCACTGTGAGAATTCACTGTCACTCCATGGAAAACACAGGAACTCAAAAGCTATTATCATCCACAGTCAAAACAAAGGCTTCCTCCATTCCAGACAAGTGTTCATGTGGTTACACACCACCACAGGCAAATATACAAGTGAGCAAAAATATGGATGGCTACACATCAGAATGATAGTCATTATACAGAAGGAGCCAGCAGCTGAGAGGACTGACTCTTGAGAGAGAATGTGTGTTATTATTTTGAGCACACTTACACCCACAGATACATCTGTGTACACATATGTGTGCAAATCCATGGTGGCTGCAAACAAACTGATTAACTTCCCTCTGTCCAACCTGGAAGACAGTGCCCTAGACAGGGGAGAGGAGACTCTCCCTCGGGGCATCAGCACTGGGGCAGTGGCATCACTGTTTTCAACAGACTATGGGCTCTGGAAATAGAGATTAAAGAAGACTGTTGTTAGCCTGTGTGAAATTCCCTGGGGCCTTCTCAAATTACTGAGAAGACTAAGGAGGTTGAGGGTCAAGGGTCCCAGAAGTATGCAGGTAGGAGATAAGAGCTGGAGAAATGTGGGCTGCTGAGACCTGGGGACACAGGAGTGACAGATCTATTTATGTCAGATCTAAGAATTCAGCAGAAGAGCCAATTATACTGCAGACAAGACCAAAAGACACATCTGGGAACTGGAGACGTTTATAAAGCTAAGAATACACTACTTTAAGAAATGTTGCAAAAATATCGCCAAAAATTTTCTTTTTTAATTGAAGTAGTTAGTTGATTTACAATGTTGTGTTAGTTTTTGGTGTACAGCATATTTTACTATGAAAAACAGTATAATGATTCTTTAAAAAATAAAAATAGTCTTACCATATGATCCAGCAATCCCACTCCTGGGCATATATTTGAAGGGTACTCTAAATCAAAAGGATACATGCACCCCAATGTTCATAGCAGCACTATTTACAATAGCCAAGACATGGAAGCAACCTAAATGCCCATAGACAGATGACTGGATAAGGAATGATTCTTAATAACAAGGTAAAGACCAGGATGGAGAATATAACCTCTTTTGTAAAATTTTAAAAACCTGTAGATAGATACATATATATAGCTATTGAAATAAAATTTCTTTCTGGAAAAAAAAATCACAGAAATGTTAACACCTGTTTAACTTTGGGGGAAAGGGTCTAGGTTGCAAACAGGTGGAAGGGAACTTCTTTGTCTTATTTCTGTAGTTTTCTGCTTGAATTTTCTAGCCATGTAGGTTTTATTCATTTTTAATACCAACTGAAATTATCTGGTTGGTGAGATTATAGGACATTTTAGTTTATATTTGTATATAAAAATTTTTAAACCATTATGCAACTATTTAAAATCAAGTTTGCATACAATTGATAATTAAGTGGAAATAATAGAGTGAGAAGGGAAAAAAGTAGTATGCAAAAATCATATGACTTTTTACTGAGTTATAATCATTTTACAATGTTGTGTCAAATTTCAGTGAAGAGCACAATTTTTCAGTTATACATGAACATATATATATTCATTGTCCCATTTTTTTCTCTGTGAGCTACCATAAGATCTTGTATATATTTCCCTGTGCTATACATTATAATCTTGTTTAACTATTCTAATTTTGAAATCCCAATCTGTCCCTTCCAAATTCTGCCCCCTTGGCAACCACAAGTTTGTATTCTATGTCTGAGTCTATTTCTGTTTTGTATTTATGCTTTGTTTTTCTAAGATTCCACATGAGTGATCTCATATGGTATTTCACTTTCACTTTCTGGCTTACTTCACTTAGAATGACATTCTCCAGGGACATCCATGTTGCTGCAAATGGAGTTATGTTGCCAGTCTTTATGGCTGAGTAGTATTCCATTGTATAAATATACCACCTCTTCTTTATCCAGTCATCTGTCTATGTCTATGGACATTTAGGCTGTTTCCATGTCTTGGCTATTGTAAATAGTGCTTCTGTGAACATTGGGGTGCAGGTGTCATCCCAAAGTAAGGTTCCTTCTGGATATATGCCCAGGAGCGGGATTAATGGGTCATATGGTAAATCTATTCCTAGTCTTTGGAGGAATCTCCATACTGTTTTCCACAGTGGCTGTACAAAACTGCATTCCATCAGCAGTGAAGAAGGGTTCCCTTTTCTCCACAGCCTCTCCAGCATTTGTCATTTGTGGATTTTTGAATGATGGCCATTGCGACTGGTGTGAGGTGATACCTCATTGTAGTTTTGATTTGCATTTGTCTGATAATTAGTGATATTGAGCATTTTTTCATGTGCCTATTGATCATTTGTATTTCTTCCTTGGAGAATTGCTTGTTTAGGTCTTCTGCCCATTTTTGGATTGGGTTGTTTA